GTATGTAAAATCTGTCAGTAAAGACTACTAGAAGTAGTTTTCTTTTGGCAAGGCCAGCAATAAAACTTTAGTGTTTTATCTCAGAGGTACATCATCTCTCCTCCACTCATGTGTCATAATATACGTCACAGGGATCTTGTCCACCTGTTCCTTCCACAAGATAAATATGCTGATCCAATGTACTGTAACATTAAGCTTATTGAACCTAGTGAGCAAGAAGCAGCAATGACTTATAGGCAAGACATTTGTATATCAGAGTATGGGAAATAAACTGGTAAAAAACATACGGGAAGGAAAGTAAAGCTGACAAAAACTTAAGGACCTTCCACTTCATGGAAAATTCTAGGGGTTTAGTGATGTAGGGTTGTTTTTGAGTAATACCTTGTTGTTTCTGGCCCCTCCTAAAAGTAAAAAAGACATATCACACTAAGAGGCTTCTTGGGACTTTGGCAGCAACAACACTTAATTTGCGTGCACTGCTCTGGCCCATTTCCCAAGTAATTCAAAAAGCTTCATGTTTTAAATGGGGTTCACAATAACAGAAGGCTCTGCAGCAGGATCAGCCTGCTGTACCACTTGAGTCATATGATCCAGCAGATCCAATAGTACTTGATGTACCAGTGACAGATGGAAATGCTGTTTCAACCCTTTAGTAGGTCCCCTACAGGTAAATTACTTCACAAAGCCTTAGGACTGTGTAGTAAAGCCTGCCATCATCTGTGGATAACAACTTTTTTTAAAATGCATGGTACTGGGCTATAACCAGGGCCTTCACAATGAGATATATTCCCACTATTTTTGAGAGAGTGTCTTGTTAAGTAACTAAAGTGCCCACATTGGGCTCTAACTTGTAATCCTTCTGTCTCAGCCTCTCACTTATAGGAATGTGCCAACATCCTGGCTAGCTACTGTCATTTTGAGAAACACCTTTTTTTTGTTTGCTTTGGGCCTAAGTTTACTCACCAATTTAATTTAAGCATATTAGTTAGTGGAGAAGAAATTTAGCAAAGATTCCATCAGTAATGGCAAATGAACACAGAAAAGCCCCAGTATAGAATTCCTGCTCCACAGTGGCATGCTGGAAATGTGGTATACCGAAGAACCATTCCCCAGTATTGCTCACAGAGGACCCAAACGCCTCTGACTGAGGCTCGGCCTGTGGATGGTGTGAGTACAGTAGCAGCCTCTGGAGCACTAGGCTTGGATATTATTGGGCTCGTGTTGTGTTGTAGTTTATTTAAATGTCCCCCACCAAAGCCTCATTCAGTCATGGAGCGACTGAATCTAGCATTTATGATGGGTTCGTTGTCATCTAGCGTTCAGATTGGTATTGTGAGTGTTTCACCAGCCCAGGGGTGGAGCAGAAGGTGAGTCTTCCTCTCATGCTTTTGATTCACTTTTGCTGTTTGCAGAGGCCATAAAGGACTCCCTGCCATGCCATCCTACCTTGCAGTCAGCTGATTATGGAATGAAACCCCCAAGAACTGTAAGAAATAAACCTTTCCTTTCCTAATTTTGGGCGTCAAGTATTTTGTCTCAGCGAGGAGTGAAATGTAACTAAGACATGTTGCCTAAGAATGTAGTCCAAAGTATATGGTAAATTCCATCTAGAAACTGAAACCTAGCACAAAAATCAGTATTTGCCAAGTACCATAATGGAAAACTGGAGAGAACATTAAAGAAAGAGTTCAAGAGCATGTGAAATTGTTAAGAGTTGTATGACCTCAGATGAGACTTGGCAACCCTTGACCATGGGTAGTGGCTCTGCTCCCTCAGCCCTGGAAGCAAGTAGCTGACCCTACCCTGTGATACCAATGATCTGGTGCCCTCACATCTCCATAGCCTGTACACCTAGGGTCTGTCATGGCAGTTGCAGTCCTGATGGTTTCTGAACCACTGTTGAATTTATTTCCTTTTGTGAAGGATAACACATGTTGACATCCAAACAGCTTTACTGCCTGGTCCCCATTTCCTGCCTGGACAATCCCAGAAGTCTGACAAGTTTTCCTTGATTTTCTACCATCTTTGTCCCCTTTAGCTCAAGCAGTGGAATTTCTTGTTTGTTAATTTATGTATTAGTGTATGTTGGTAATACAGAATGATAAGGTTGGTTTTGATAAATTGGTACATGCATTTAACACAACTTTACCTGTTCTATTTCCTCCCCTCCCTCTGATCCCTGTGTCCAAAAGTCTACTTCCTAGTTTCTGTCACCTCTATTTTATTTTATTTACTTACTCATTAGATTTTTCATGTAAGGAAACCATGCACAAATTAACTGTATGAGTCTGGCTTATTTCACTTAACATGATAGTCTTTACTTCCATTCATTTTCCTGCAAATGGCATGATTTTATTTTTCTTCATAGCCAAATAATATTTCAGTGCACATACATACCACATTTCTTCATCCATTCATCTGTTGATATCTAGGCTGTTTCTGTAAGAATGCAGAATTTCTACTGACATGGTTGAGTGAACCTACTGATCACACTCTTTAGAAACTGGTTTTTCAGCCATAACATTTGTGTTCTTTCCAGGTATATTTTCTCAAATTTTGTAATGTGGTTAGGCTGAGAATTTTCAGAATCTTTAAGTTGTTATCTTTTTCCTAAAAAATCCTTTTTTGATTTTATCTTTTTTTTATCTCATATCTTACTATAAGTAGCAAGGAGAAACCAGGCTATGCTTTTTTTTTTTTTTTTTTTTTTTTTTTTGTATTTTTACCGGTACCAGGGATTGAACTCACAACCACACGCTTACAAGGCAGGTGCTTATGCCACTGAGCTAAATTCCCAGCCCCCAGGCTACGCTTTCTATACTTTCTTTAGAAATTTCATTTAAATACTAAAGTTCATCACTTCTAAGTTCCCTTTTCATCCAAGAAAACATAAATCTTCCAAGATCTCTGCCACTTTACAACAAAGATTGCCTTTCCTCAAGTTTGCCTTAACTTGTTACCCACTTCCTTCTTAGGTCTAACCTAAAACACCTTTAACATAGTACTACCAATAGTCTCTTCAAGGAAATTCATTTTCTAAAAAATCTATACTTTTGTAAGAAATAATGGTAAGAATCAACAAATGAGATTATATCAGACTAAAAAGCTTCTTTACAGCAAATGAATCCATAAGTAGAGTAAAGAGACAATCTACAAAATAGGAAAAACATTTTGTCCCCTACTCCTCAGACAGAGGACTAATATTTAGCATATATAAAATTTTAAAAAACTAAAACACGTGAAATTAAAGACCTAGTGAAGGAATAGGCTAGAGAAATGAACAGACACTTCACAGAGGAAGAAATACAAATGCTCAACAAAAGTGAAAAATCCTTAACATCTGTGCCCATTATAGAAACAGAAATTAAAACAACACTAAGGTTCCATCTTACTCCCGAAAGAATAACAATTAGAAAATCAAAATAACAAATGCTGGTGTGGCTGTAGTGAAAAAGGAACCCTCCTCCATTGTTGCTAGGAATGTCAACTAGTATAGGGATTTCTCAAAGAACTGAAATTAGAAATTCTATACAATCCAGCTATCCCCTTGCTATCTTCCCCAAAGAGTTTAAGTCCTCATACTACAGAGATACATGAATATCAATGTTTATGTAGCACAATTTGTAATAGCTAAATCCCAGAGGCAGCCTGTACATCCATCGATAGAAGAGCGAATAACGAAAATGTATCTGTATATAATGGAATAGTATACAGCTATAAAGAATGACACATATTAGACATCTATAGAAAAATGGATATATCTGGAAAATATCATATTGAGCAAAATAAGCCAGACATACAAGCTTAACTACCATATAGTATTATCTCTTATTTGAGTGAGGCAAAGCACAAAGAGAATAATAAAGGATGGATAGGCCAGGTGTGGTGGTGCACTCCGGTAATCCCAGCACTCGGGAGGCTAAGGCAGGAGAATTGCAATGAGTTTGAGGCCAGCCTTGGCTATATAGTGAGTTCAAGGCCAGCCTAAACTACACAGCAAAAATGTCTCAAAAAAAAAAAAAAAAAAGCATGGTTAGAAGGGGCCAGGGAATTAATCTCTTGCAAGAGGGAAGTGGTCCAAAGGCAAAGAGTGAAGAGGAAGGTAGAGAGAAATAAGTAGAATAAATATTAACTATTTGTAAGAACCTAGTAATGTAAATGAATATAAATAATATATACCATAACATGAGTTAAGATTAATAATACCAACAGGATAAAAATCAAGATGAAGCGATTAGAGGGAGAGGGACGGAAGAGGAAGAGGACTGAATGAAAAACAAGCTGTACTATGTACAATGCACCCATTTCCCAAAATGACTGTAAATTCCATGTACTGCAAACACATACTAAACAATTTTTTAGTTTAAAAAATCTAGACTTTTAATTGAAACACCTCAAAAGTTTTCCAGCCTCTATCCATTACCCAATTTCAAAGCTACATCTCTATTTTTAGCTATTTGTCACAAAAGTATCCTATTTCCAAGTATAAAAAATAAGTATTAGTTTTTCTAGGGCTGATGTAACAAAGTACCAAAAACCTGGGGAGGGGTCTTGAAACAACTGAAATTTATCACCTCACAAATGTGAATACTAGAAGTCCAAAGTCAAGGTGTCAGTGCAACTGTGCTCTCACTGAAGGCATTAGGAAAGGAACCACCCCATGCCTCCTTCATGTCTTCTGGGAGCTTCAGGAGTTTCTTGGTTTCTGGATGGATCATCAAATCCCAAGCCATCTTATTCCTGTGTGTCTTCACATTGTCCTCTCTCTCCCTCTCTCTCTCTGTGTGTTTCTGAGTCCAGATTTCCCCTTTTACAAGGACATCAGTTATACTGGATTAGGACTCACCATAATGGCCTCAGTGTAGCTTGATCACTTCTATATTCTATTCCAAAAAAGTTCACATTCTATAGTAGTGAGAGTTAGGACTGTAACAAATTTTACTTGTGGGACATAATTTAAATTAAATAAACTCATAGTTTCGGGGGATGGCTGTGCTTACCCACAGAGAGCAGGTGGCTGTAGTTCTCCAGCATTACATCATGGTATAGGCATCTTTGAGTAGAGTCCAGTTGCTGCCACTCCTCCCTACTGAAGTCCACAGTCACATCCTCAAATGACACTAGTACCTGTAAAACACAATGCTGTTCAAGGCAACGCAAAAAACACTAGGGGATGGGGAGACGATACGAAGTTATTTTCAATTATTTTTCATCATAATATGCCATATGATATAGCTATTAAGCACACATATATAATATTGTACAGAAGACATATATGTAATCATAAATCTCTGATATTCATTATATATGACATTAAGTCAATCTTTTATTTTTAAAACAATTTTTAAGGAATTTGACCTTCTATTTTGTTACCCATTTTTATGGGGAATTTATATTCTACAACTCCTAGGGGAAGCCTGTATTTCACTCATCCTCATTTTTTTAACTTGACATAGCTCCTACTACAGTTGCTTTTATTTATGTTTCAAAAATATGACCATTGTCTCTTAATGTCTTTTTATCATACATTTCTATTATAATTCAATTTTAGTCAGAAAATATGCTATGTATAATCTCAATATATAGTCTACCTAAGAGTCTGTTCCATCCTTCCCTAAAAAAAGAATGCATAGACTGGGTGTAGTGGCACATATCTGTAGCACAGGCACTCATGAGGCAGAGATAGGAGGCTTGCCATGAGTTTGAGGCCAGCCCGGAATGCATACTTAGTTCAAGGCCAGTCTGAGCAACATAGTGAAACTTTGTCTCAAAAAAACTGTTATATTTAGCTACTGATGGCTATGGGGTTCTATCACATATAAATCAAGTTGATTAAATGTTATTCAAATTCTCTATCATCTTACTAATTTGTCTTCTGCTTGTTCAATCAATAACTTTTCTATTTTGGTCAAAATTGACAGGAAATGTTAAAGCTTATATGGCTATATAAAGAACCTAGCATAGCCAAAGCAAGAAAAAAAGTACAGAAGATTTATATTACCCAATGTTAAGACTTACTATAAAGCTACAGAAATTCTGGCAGTATGATACTGATGTAAGGTTAGACAAATATATAATTGAAACAGAACAGTGTCCAGAAACAGACCCACATCTATATGGGCAACTGTCTTTTGAGAAAGGTGCCAATGTGATTCTAGGGGGGGAAAAGTCTTTTTTTTTTCATCCATGCTGGGACTTGGGGGACCAACCAGGAAAGCAACAAGCCAGCCTTCCTGGTAAGCAGCATTGAGTCATAGGTGCACCAGGGAGCTAAAAGTCAGCATCTTCCATAAGCCTACTGCAGGGAATGAAATGTCCCATCAAGCCCCCCACCCCATGCCCCTCTCCTTGGCAAATGGATTTGAGGTGCACCTGAGTTGATAGCAACTAAGGTGAATAAAGTAACTAAATGCTTGTATTGTTTGGTTGATTATGCAGACCTGGAGCCAGTGATCTGAGAATTTCTTGGGAGGATGACAGTATGCAGTATAGCAAATATGGGGGATTGATTTCCTTCTGTCTTGTATTTGAAGTCCAATACTCTTTTGTTTTGCTTTGTTCTGATTGTTTTTGCTCTATTCAATATTCTGTTTTAATAGGTTTTACAGTGTTCTGTTTTTGGTTTCATTTTGCTATACCTGATTGAATGCACAACTATTGTGAAGACAACAATATATACTATGGCAGCTATGACTGTTATCCCGGTATCCTGCTCTGAAGTTCTGTACCAATTTCACTGCATTGTCTTGATTGGCTTTGTTCTGTCTTGTTTTGTTGTATTTTACTATCTTTAAAATAAAAAACAAGAAAATCTTTTCAACAAATTATGCTGGAAGAAATGGATAAAAGTATTGGAGAAAAACAAATCTTGAACCCATACTTCAAAACATATATAAAAACTAACAAAAAATAGTGGGGCATGGTAGCACATGACTATATTCCTGGCACTCAGCAGGCTGAAGCAGGAAGACTGCTGTGAGTTCAAGGACAGCCTGAACAAACAAACAAAAAATTAACAAAAATAAGTTTCAAGGCTGGGCATGGTGATACACACTTGTAATTTCAGCATTTAGAGGCCAAGGCAAGAAGATTGCTATGAGTTTAAGGCCAGCCTGTACTACATAGTGAGACCCTATCTCAAAACAACAAACAACGTCACCCCCCCAAAAAAAAAACAAAAATGTTTCAGTATGATTATTACACTGCTTTTATCAGACCAATCCTCATATAGATAAAACAATTATAAACTGAATAAAATATAAAAAATAATCTTCAAACGAGCTGGGCACAGTGGCATATGCCCGTAATGCCAACTACTCAGGAGGCTCCCGAGGGACAAAGATCACAAGTTCAAGACCAGTCTAGGGAAATTAGTGAAACTCTATTTCAAAATAAAAATTAAAATTTTTTTTCAAAGGCTAGGCATGTAGCTCAGTGGTAGAGTAACCCTGAACTCCACCCCCAATACCTCATAAAAAATCTGAAGATCTGTCAATATCAGGCATCTCTCCTAGAGGGAAGTTGACACTGAACAAAGAGATGGACCTTAGCTTGTGAAAAAAGCCCAGTTGGTGCCACTTTAGGGTAACTAAAATTCCAGTGGAAAAAAGCATGAGTCTTACTGACTTGAGAAAATCAACGGAGTGTTTTACAGTTATCACTACAGTGGGAAAACTAAGGGAGAATCTAGGAATGAAAAGGGTGCCTAAATTTTGTGAATTAACTTTGCCAAGATCTCTGCTTGGTCACTTAAATGAAGTGAAATTTGAGGCTATGCATACCATACTGGAGAATGTTTCTAACTTGAGTCCAAATTAAGTACTCAGTACACAAAACAAAATAAATAATTAGCAAATATTCAGAAGAATTAAACAAAATTAAACATCTCTACTACATATGTTTCATAACAACTATAATATAAATCAAAATAACTTAACAAACAGAAAAGTATGGAAAGAAAGAGGTTCAAGAGAAAATAGCATCACAGACTCAAAAAATAATATGACAAGTATCAGGTAATACTTATTAGTTATAACCATCAATGTAAATGGTCTCAATTTATCAATCAAAAGAAATAGACTGATAGAAGATCAAGTTCAATGAAATTAGAAATCAATGGTTAATGAAATCACAAAAATTCTATAAAGACATGGAAATTGAATAACATCCTCCTGAACAATCAATGGGTCACAGATGAAATTAAAGGAGAAATTAAATAGTATCTACAATTAAGTGCTATTTCTGATACAACATACTGAAACTTATGGAATACAATAAAAGTGGTCCTAAGAGTGAAATTTATAGTGGTGAATTCTCTTATCAGATAAAAAGAATGAGCTCAAATTAATGCTGAGCCTCAGACTTCGAGAAAAAAAAAAAAAAAAAAAAGAACAAGTCAAGCCCAAAGCTCATATGAGGGAAGAAAATGTAAGGACCACAGTAGAAATTACTGCAATTGAAACAAACAAAACAATAGAGAAGCAATGAATCAAAGAGCTCATTCTTTGAAAGATTAAATAAACCAGACAAAACCTTAGCTGACCTTATTTAAAAAGAAATAAAAGTCAAATTCATACAATTAGGAATGAAAAGGGTAAAATCACAACAGATACTGCAGAAATCCAAAAGATCACTGGTACTTACTTTGAGAATCTTTATTCTAAGAAGATGGAAAACAGAAAAAATGGAGTTTCCGGGGCTGGGGATTTAGCTCAGCGGCATAAGCACCTGCCTTGCAAATAGGCGGTAGTGAGTTTGATCCCCGGTACCGATAATAAAAAAAAGAAAAAATGGAGTTTCCAAGATACATATAAACCACTAAAGCTGAACAAGAAGATATAAAAATTCTAAATAAACCAATATCAGTTAATGACATTGAAAACATAATAAAAACTTACCAACAAAGAAAATCCCAGGTCCTGATGGCTTCACTCCTGAATTCCACAAGAAATTTAGAGAAGATCTAATAACATTACTCCTCAAACTCCTTGATAAAATTGAAAGGGAAGCAATAAAGAAAATCTTGGAAGCAAGTATTACTCTGATACCAAAACCAGAGAAGGACTCAACCAAGAAAAAAAAAACAGAACTATAGGCCAATCTCCCTAATGAACAGAGATGCAAAAATCCTCAATTAAGAAACTGGCAAACAGAATGCAGCAAATTCTCAAAAAGATTATAATACCATGACCAACTAGGATTCATCCCCGGAATGCAGAGATTCTTTTATATATGTAAATCAATAAGTGTAATACACTATATCAACAGAACCAAGGACAAAAATACTAGGATCATCTCCATAGATGCAGAAAACGCATTTAAGAAAGCCCAAAATGCACTCATGAGAAACACCCAAAAGAAAATCAGAATAGAGTGTCTTTATCTCAATCTGATAAAAACCGTCTATGACAAAACTATAGCCAACATTATACTAAATGGTCAAAAACTAAAAGCTTTCATTCTAAAATCATGAACAACACAAGGATGTCCACTATCACCACTCCTATTAAATATGGTTCTAGAAACATTAGCCAGACCAATTGGACAAGAGAAAGAAATAAAAGGAATAAACATAGGAAATGAAGAAATTAAAGTATCTGAGGGAGCTAGGAAGATGGCAGCTTGATAGGTAGCAGGATAGAGAGCTTCTCTGAGAAAAACAACACAGATGCTAGAATTTAACACCATGGAGAAGACTAGATGAAAGGAGAGGGATTCTCATGACCCAGGAAGAAACTGAGGAAAAAGAAAAAAATAAAGGAAGGAAAAATGTGGATGAAAGGCTGGAACCAGATGTGCTCATTGGGACTGGTCCCACACTGTGCTGGGCACACTGTAGAGTTGGACGATTCATGGTTGCACTGAAGCCGTGGCTGCCGAAACTGGGAGTTGGTGAGTCTGGGGCCCTTGATGGGAGGACACGGCACAGCGTACAGTGGAGTCAAGGTGGAGAGCTGCATTAATTTGCAGTGAGTGCTGAAAATTGGGTCCCGAGGCAGATGTGACCGGCTGGAGGACATATTGGAGTTGGGCAGGACAGCCCTGACCCTGAACTGCAGTCAGTCAGCTGCCCCTGGCCCAAAGAGGACTGGTGGGACCCACGTGGGCTAGCTCATCACCCTGGTCAG